GATGGGGAGCTGCTGGAAAGAGCCCAGAGGAGGGTGCAGAGATGGGGGCCTGGAGCACCTCCTGATGGGGACAGACTGAGAGCCCTGGGCTTGTTTGCCTTGGGAAGAGAGAACCAAGAGGGGATCTGCTCAGTACTGATCAGTATCTGAAGGGCATTAGGAGGGCAGGGCTGTGTTTGGTGGTAACCAGTGACAGGATAAGGGGCAGTGGGAACAAAATGGAGCCCAGAGAGCTCCATCTGAACACAAAGGAGGAATTCCGTGCTGTGAGGTGGCAGAGGCCTGGAGCAGAGCCCAGAGGTGGTGCAGCTGCTGTAGGGGACCTGCTGAAGGGGGGTGGACTGGGGGATCTCTGGATATCCCTTCCATAGGGACAGGTCCACAGTTCTGTAATTCCATAACTGCAAACTGTGTATAGAAACGCAGGTGGACGCTTTGGTTTCATGTACATTATTTCCATGAATCAAAGTTCTCCTGTGTGATCCTTCCCTGGTGCAGACAGCCTTGGTTTTAACCCTATTGGTGCCGTGCAGCCCTGTTGGTGCTGTGCAGCTGGCCCACTGCTTCTCCCCATCGATGTGCCTGAGCTGTGGGGAAAGAAGCAAACCATTGTGTTGAGATAATGCAGTAGGGAAGAGATTAGATAGGGAGAAGGATTGCCTTATCCATCCAACCCTTGGAGTTCAGACCCATGAGAAACAAGAAGGGGAGGCGTGAGTCACAGGCCTCTTGAGGAGGTCGGTAAACATGGCAGTGGCCGTCCCAGTCTGCATGGCTTCTCTTCTGAAATAAACAACGCTGTACAAAGTAGCTGATGCTTCACGTGCTGCAGTCGCGGCGTCTTCCTCTGTAGGAGCATTGCGGTTAATGATGCACAATGTGTGATGAGGCCGTGGTAATGAGTGGCTGTGGGAGGTCCCTGTGCACCTAGAGCCTTGTCAGTCTCTTGAAGGGCTTTGATTTGCATCACGTACACAGTGCAGATAGAAGCAGCCCGTCCTGTGCGGTGCTGATGTGCAGCACATGAGTGTGACACCTTCCTCTCACAGCACCAGACCATGGAGCTGCCCTGCGAGGGCTGCAGGTGGGTCTGAAAACTGAACTCAGCCCATTCCCAGAGAGCTGATGGGACATTTCCTTGCAGTGTTGCTTCGAAACTGTGTGATACCCCCCAGCTGTGTGGGAAGAAGAGCAGTGTGGGATGCCCTGCAGCTTTTTTCCTGCTTCTCCTCTGTGCAGTGTAGCGCAGCTGGAGCAGAGGATCAGAGGGGACGTCCCAAAACCCTGCTGTCCCCATGCTGTGCCAGTGGTGGGAGTGCAGGAGGAAAGCTGCTGGCTACCAAGTGCTGTGTGTGCGTGACCGGTGCACCGGAGGCAGTGCACATGTAGGAGCTGTAGCAGGTTGTTCTGCCACCAACAACTCTGTGGGTGCCTCTTGGAAGTGATTTCCTTGCACGGAGGGGAACTGCCCACGTCCTGCAGCACATCTCCCTGCTGCAATGCGCCCCGCCAGCTCACTGTCCCAGCACTGTGACCTTGGCTGCCAGGAGCACACCACTGGCTCTGCTTTTGTTTGGCTTCAGAGAGCACTGTCCTCTGGCTGACAGGCATAAATCTGACCCAGACAGTTTAAAAAAAAATATACAGTATCCATTTGTTGAAGTACGTCCTTCCCCAGTAATTTATCTTGCCTGCACTCTGTTTGGAATCAAATGTACACACATCTCTAGGCACACAAAGCAGCCTGGGGGGAAGGGGGAGGAGGGGGTGGTTTGCTGTGTTGCATTCAGCAAACCTCCTCTTTTTTTTTGCATGGAAACATGGCGAAAAAAATATACCGTGGATGGATACCTGTTGTTTCGTTTCAAAGAAAGTTGGAAATGACCTCTCAGACCTCCAGGCCCACCCCACCTCACCATGCCCAGTGCCACATCCCCACAGCCCTGAACACTCCCAGAGATGGTGATTCCCCCGCTCCCTGGAAAGCCTGTGCCCGTGCTGATGGAACAAATTGTTCCTCACACCCCCTTGACCCCCCCTTGGCATGATGTGAGACCGTCCCCTCCCCTCCCATCTCTGTTTGCTGAGAGAAGAGTCCAACCCCCACTGTCACAGCCGCCTTTTGGGGAGCTGCAGAGAGCACTAAGCTGCAGACAGCTGGGGTAGGGGAACTCTTTTGGCTTTAGAGCCCTATTCCTGCTGTGTGCACTGAGCTGCAGGGGCCATGACTGCTCGGTGCTGCAGGACTCAGCCCAACACAATGCTGCCCTGGGCAGGAGGGGCTGCAGCTCTCAGTAGTTCTTTCTGTTTGCCAGGGCTTGTAGTGCTGGCAGCTTTGCTCTGGAGAGGTATTTGGGAGCGTGTCTGCTTCCCTCTTGGCACGGCTGTTCCGCAGAGCAGGCTGTGCTGCAGCAGCCATACTCACAGCTCCTGCAGCAAGGTGCCAGCCCTGCACGGACCTTGCACTGATGCAATGGAGGGCTGATTGCTTCCCGTAAACCAGGGCATGCAGTGCTGGGAGGAGCCAGGCTGAGGGGCTGCCTGGGGCTGGCCTGGGTAAAGGTGAATGATTGAAGCCGAAGGTGCAAGCGTGTGCCCATCTGCTTTGTCTTGAGCAACCTGGCAAAGCAATAACACTGTTCTTGTACAGAGAGCTGCTGCAGCACCTCTGCATTATGCAGATCCATAGGTAACCCGGGCTGCCTGGCTGAGTTCATGCTGTTCTGCAGCATCACAACGCGTTGGTGGGGGGGTGCTTGCTTTAATTATCACAGTGAATCTTGTAAGCCTGTTGGCTCTGGGGCTGTGCTGCTGGCTGTGTCTGTCACAGAACCACTCTCAGCTCCCCACACCCAGCACCGTGGCAGGGATCTCTGTGCCCACCAACCACTGTCCCACTGCTGATCCACAACGAAGGCAGGAGGAGCTGCTCGACTGGAGGTGCAGGAGGCCCAGATGTGGGTCAGCCCCTCTGGCAAAGTATTACCCATAACAGCTCTGCTGAGTGGGGCTGTGCAGGCTGCATTCTTCGCTCACTGCCTGCAGTGTCAGTGATGCTGCCCCATAATGCTGTCAGGGTTCTGAGGACATTTCAGGGCTCGAGGGCCGTGTTGCAATGCGAGCTCATTGCACACACCTGACACAGCAACAGGAAGCGCTTTGCAGTCACATTTGCATGGCAAAAAAAAAAAACAAAAAACAAGGCAAATGTCAAAGAATCAAAGCTGTAAAAGGGAAGAAAAACCCATAACAGCCCTTTATCCTGAGCTTTGCAAGGTGGGGCCACATGCTCTTAAAGCTTCATTCACACAGGAGGAAGAATGAAAGAGGTAAATCGCCTGTTGTTTGTCCGTGTTTGCAAACTGCAATACCCGTGCTTGGCTGCCCTCTACCAACAGACCTCGTGTGCTGAGGGTGTGGGGCCTAAATTTACACCACCTGTGCTCTGCAGGGTGATGCTGGGTGCTCCTGTCAGCCCCGGTGCCACACTCCTCTCTGTCAAGCAGGGAAGCAGCTCAGAGCCCATAGGGTGAGCACAGCCTCAGCAGCACTGATTGAATTCTGGTTTGAAATTGGAGGAAAATCTCATGGTTGGCAGCCCTGAACATAGCAGAGGGGTGAAAGCCAGGTGATCATTATGGTCCTTTTCAACCCAGGCCATTCTGTGATTCTCTGATTCTATGAAAAGGGGCAACGTGCTCCAGCATCAGGAAGGATCATTTTGCTTGGGTTGGTGGGATGCAGCCAGACCTTCTCTCCTTTAGCTGCGAGGGGAGTGGGGTTGTTCTGGGTTTGGGATGGCAGCGGGGAACGATGCAGCCCTTCCCACACCCCTCCGTGCCCCACAGCTTAGCTGAGCTGGGCCAGGAGCAGCAGTGCCTTTGGCTGACCCAAGAAGAGCAAAAATGTTGAGCTTAGCACTGAGAAGAATCGGTTTGGAGGGAGTGATGGGGAACGGCCCCAAGATGAAAACAGCAGAGCACAGCAGCGTGGCTGAGAGCTGGAGCTGTGCTGGGCTCTTCTCAAAGCACAGCAGAGTGCGGGGCTGGTGGGCAGCCCATGCTTACCAACTGCTCTCAGAGAGGCTCGGGGATACCTGCATGAACTAGGAGAGAAAAAACAAAAAAAGATGGCTAATGAAACATCCGCAGGAAATTTTGACATGATTTCCGTGACTCAGCTGGTTCATATTAGCCGTGTTACATAAGTGGAGGTCCAACAGATTGCCCTCTGGGCAGGGCAGGCCAGGCGGGTGCCGAGGGCAGGAGGTGGGTCGGGAGCTGCCCCAGCTCCATGCCAGCTCCACGCAGCTCAGGGGCACACACAGCCACAGAAGTTTGGCTTTTCACCTCAATCCAGCAGCAGCCTCTTGGATTTTATTTTTTCAATGGGCTCAACAAGTGTTTTTGGTTTGGTTTTCTATTTATGTGGGGTATTTTGAGCAAAACCTGCATTTCCTGTAGGAAATTCCACTTTCATCTTCTTTTGGAGTACATGAATCAAAGCACATGGGTGGGGAGAAATCTCCAACCAAGTCCAATTCCAACGCCCATTTCAGCCACTTGAGGCTTTCTGTGCCACTCCCCAAAAGCACTTTATCAGCATCACCATCCAGACACTCCATGAGAAGCTGATGGTCAGACTCAATGATTGCAGGCAGGGGGTTGAATCTGGATGATCCTTGAAGTCCCTTCCAACCCAAGCTGTTCTATGATTCTATGATAACAGTGCTCTTTTCCAACCTTAATGATTCTATGATAAGCTATGCCTTCATTTTGCCACTATGGTTCTGTCTCGTGGTTTCTGCTTGCTGATGTGCTTTGGGGTGTTTTGCATCACTCTAGGGCTGTGCTTTGCCTTGCAGGGGCTCTGCCTGCAGCCCCACTGCTGTCACCTTTTATCCTTGTATGATTTTTACCTTCCTCTCTCTTTTTCCTTTTTCAAGTTGAACTAGAAAAACAAAAACACTCAATGTGTCAACACTGTCCCTTCCCTTACAGCATGTGATCATCCCCAGGAGGTGCACAGGGAGAGGTCCCACCAGGACACCCCTCATCCCAGGGGTGCAGCGGTTGATTACGGGGTCCCGTGACAGCTCCACATCTACAGTGACCAAGGACCCATGGGGACGGTGGTCCTGGAGGTGGCTGGTGACTGCAGACTGCTGGAATGCTCCATGCCTGGATGAGACGTGTGGGGGTGCTGGGGATGCTGGTGGCTGTGGGTTTCCTACTGAGCCCGGATCATCGCAGCCAAGGCAGGCCAGGTTGGACGGGGCCTTGGGCAACCTGAGCTGGATTTCAGCCTCTGGATTTCAGCTCCCAAAATGTGCCAAGCGTGAGCCTTCAGCAGGAGCTTCATCCACCCAACACATGCTGGACTAATTCATCCCAACCCCTCTCTGCAGGAGTTTTGCCTTCACGGAAGCAGCCGGTGCATTAGAAGTTGGTTTTGGAATGCACTCACAGTGCCAACAGCCATAGTGACCGTCCTGCTGAGCAGGGGGGGGTCTGCAATGGGGATGGAGCCCAAACCGTGGCCTTGGGACCCGTCTGATTTTCCCTGCTGCCAGCTGGGGGATGGGGGCATCAGGAACAGGATACAGCTAGGAACAGGAGCAGGCGTTTCCTCGCTTACCCTGGGGCTTTAAAGGCCAGGCTCACCCCCAGCAAGGTCCTCAGTTAGCTGCCCAGCTGCTTATAAGGTCAGATTTGTCATCTCAAAATACAGTTTGCTGTAGAACAGAGAATATTTAGAAGGGATTTGGTGAGTAACATCTGCTGCTGTACTGAAAATTCAAAGTGTTAAAAACTTAACAAAAATAAGAGGTTTGGGTAAAAATAAAAGGCCTTTGGAGAGGTCTCCTTGGCAGGATCCTTTTCTCCCCGTGCACACAGCAGATTTGTCCATGTTCGTTTGTCACTGTCCTTCTGAACATCAAACCAGAGCGCAGCAAAGGCTGGCTTTCGAGAGATAAACCTGGAGGCGATCGTATTTCACACTGCATAAAACCCACCTCGGGAATTTTCAGTTCTTCTTTGTAACACTACGAGGGCCTTTAGAAAAAAGTGTGGCAGCTCATGAGCTAAAAAAGAAGAAAAAAAAAAAAAAAAAAAAAGCATCAGCTTGTGGCTTTGGATGCATTCAGAGCGCGTTTGTGGTCGGAGTTTCCCAGGCTGCTGGGGGTGAGCACCAGGTCGGCCCTCGCACGGCGCTGTTTCTGTATGAGCCATGGCAGGCAGTGAGCTGCAGCTCTGTGGCCGAAGGCTCCGTCCTGCAGAGGGGTTTGGGATGGGGATCTGCTGTGTTTGATGAGGTGGGAGTGGGAGCCAAGCCTGGGTTTGAGGGGTAGAAATAGGTTTTTTCTCCTCAAACGGCGAGGTTTGGCTTCATCCTTGTTAAACTTCATTGCCACAAGGTGAGATGGGGCACGGATGGGTGAGTGTACAGATGAGGAGGTGCTGCAGAGTGCTGCCATAGGAAGAGGTGGGAGGCTCTGGTTTGGCAGTTACCACAGCAATTAACCCAAGCCCAGGGTCCCCTGTGTACAGCCCTGGTGGTGCCTGCATGCTCACAGAATCACAGAATCACAAGGTTGGAAACGACCTGCAAGATCATCCAGTCCAACCACCCTCCCATCCTATTGGTACCACAAGCTACTAAACCACATCTCGTAGCTCCTCATCCAGGCATCTCTTGAACACTACCAGGGACGGCGACTCCACCACCTCCCTGGGCAGCCATTCCAGTGAATGCTTGCTGCAGATGGGTTGTTGTGGTGCTGGGTGCACCTGTGTGCTTGATCTGTGTGTAAATACGAGAAGGCAGGCATACAAGCACTGCCCTGCACTCAACCTGGCTGCTCTAAAACAAACCCACAGCACAGCATCATTAGACAGAGGCAGTCCAGGAGGTCCATCCCTGACACACACAGGTGTGCCCGCTGCCAGCCTGCTGCACTGACCTGTCTTGCTTCCATAGAGCTCCACGCTCATTCGCTGCACCAAAAGTAGTCCTAAAACCCAAAACAAGGGACAGATCTTTCAGTTTTCTGTATTTTCTCCCCTGGGTAGGAAACAGGTCAGGTCTGCCAGCAGAACAGACCACAGCAGATGGGCTGCTTTCCCAGTGCACTTCTCTGCAGGAAGGAAGATGACACCTTACACGTGAGGTGCCACCTCAATCAATCACTGCACAACGCCTTTCCTTGTCCCCTCCATGCCCTTAGCAGTCAGACATCTGACTCCAATTGCTCTCTTTCCCACTTGATATAAGGAGTGTTGTGCATGAAGGGAAGTGCACGGAGGTGAAACCCTCCAAGAAACATCGCGGCCACTTCTCTTTTCCCATCAGCAGATATTGCTTCAGTTCCTATTTCCTACCATTAACTTGCATTGGCTTCGGGCCCTGTTCACTGCCTGCTTGCTAAGGATTTCTGAGCCTTGGACCATGACCTGATTTCACTATTTAAAATCATACCTTCCATATTCCTATTGCGCTTTGTCTTTGAATGGGCGTTTGTACAAAACAGTTCCATTTTTTCTGCCTGCAAGCAACACAAGATAGAGCAAGGCGCTCAAACTGTGGTACCAGCAGGGCCCAGCCATGGGAACAATTCCTGCCCCCCATCTGGAGCCCTCTGCCCACCTCCCTCCAGTCAGACCCTGTGCTCCCCCTCTGGCCCTTCATCTTACAGAAAAGCACAACAACCACCAACGTGTATCTCAGACTCCCTGCGAAAGCTGAGGATTGCAGGCCACCAGAAAGCTGCTCAGACAATCGCAGTGGCTGAGCAATGCTGGCTCTCACCATCACTGCTCCGCTGCCGTCCTGCTGCTGCCCCAGACCCTGCGACCTTTGCAGCAATTATTTTTGGTTCTGCGGAAAAGGAAATAGGAAGTAGAGCTGCTCTGCTGCGTTTTTGCACACCGTGGGGCTGCCCCATGCTCAGACAGCCCTGCTCGCCCTGCGCAGCGCTTTCGTTGCCAGTTATTCACTCTGGGATGCTGCGATCAAACCAAAACGGCAGTGCAGTTACCTGAAGGTGGAAGTGGCTGAGGAAGCAGAGAGCGGTCTTGGTACTGCTGCTGTCAGAGTGGGACACAGCTTGAGAGATGAGCACGGCTGGGCTCCAGAGCTTGGACCGCAACCACCCTGCTGGTCTGGAGCTTCTGATGCCTGGCTCAGAAATGTATCTAAGGAAGTTCGTGTGTTCTTGTTCAAACTGCGCTCATTCTTGGCCTTAATCCCACCTTCCCCTCCAACAGACAGACAGACTTTGTGTTTGGCTCTGCTTGCTGCTGCCCAGCGGTGCTGAGGACCGCCACTGCTCGGTGCTAATAGAAAGTCTGAGCAGCTCTGGTGGGTGCCCAAAAAGGACAGGGACCTGCGCTGAGTTGTGTCTGCACCAGGCACAAGGCAAAATGGAGCTTTTGCTCCCCGTTATTTCCTTATGCCTACACATACAGAGGCCAACGGGGTAGAGGCCAACACAGCCTGTTTTCTTCATCAACAAGTGAGGAATGGTGTGGTGTGGTTATTCTAGAAATAATGTGCATTCTCAGGCACTTCCCACGCTGCCTAGAGGCAGAGGGTCTCTTTTACTTTGGCTTTCTGCATCTAGATTGTTCCATTGAGGAAGATTCTTGAGAAATTGAAGCCACTTGTGTGCATGGCTGCAGTGCTAATAAGACCCAAATGTGGGCAGAGGTTCTGGGAGCTTTGCTCTTGTTGGCTTGCCCTGCTTCAGATAGCAAATGTAGGGCTTTGACATGAAATAAATTGGCAGAAAAGCCACACATAGAGTGATGGTGACTCAGCTCTGCTGCTGAAGGCATGTAGAGGGCACCGGCTTGGAGCTCTGCTGTGTGTGCAAAACATGAGAGCTGTGCTGGCAGAGCTGTGAGCATGGGGGAGCAGGAGGAGCTGCTGCCTGACTGAAGCACCAGCAAAACTTTACAAGAACTCAGCTCAGCTGAAGGGATGCTGGAGGAGTCAGCTGCTGGCAACAGAGATGGGAGACAGGTGGTAAATCAGTGCTCAAAGAGAGGAGAGCAAAGAGCCGCCTCAGTTGTGGTTACCTGCTCTGTGTTGGAGGAATGGAGAAGAGCTGCATGAAGGCTGGTGGTCTCTCCTTTGCATTTGCTGGCTGTGGGCTTGGTGGGACGATGGAAAAATGCCTGGAAGGTAATGGCAAAAATAAATTCTTGGTCTGTCTGACTCATGGGGCTGTGAGCGATGGAGATCAGGTGTGGTGGTGGTGGTGGTGGTGGTGGTGGGATGCAGAGTGGGAGGGAAGGGGAGGACTGGTTATCCTGGATCCTCAGTGTACCTTATGTCCTAATGATTGCAGCAAGCATGAAGCAGAGGACAGCAGCAAGGTGTGCTCTGGAAATGCTCAGCTGGAATGTGGTTTGGGCCAGGGGGATGTTGGCAGGGTGAGCATTTCCACTGCCACCTCCCTGAGCACCGTGGGCTGCTGTCAGTGGCAGAATCGCCAACAGCCACAAAGGACGCACCCTGATTTATGCATCAAATACCAGGAAAGGCTTAAATTCTGTTTGTCACTCGGCAGATGGTGACGGTTGCCCCAGCATGTGAAATATTTCATGCCTGACACCTCAATTCAGGAAACAGTGGTTTGCTCAGCAGAGGCGCTGGAGGCAGCGAGCTGTTATCGAGGGTAACATTGCCCTTTGCTTCTTTTTCTCCACTGACAGAGTTTGTTTTCTAGAGCAGTGCTGTGCCCACAGGCACATGCAGTGGGGGCACACCCCCAAACCATGTTGGTTTTTGGGATGTTTGGTACCATAGCGAGTTCGTTTTCCTGCAGGGCCTAGCTGCTGCCTGTAGCCCTCGCTTGCTGGGTTCCTGTTCCCTGGGCTCCTCGCGCCTGAGGTTTGCTGAACCACAGGGAGCTCATTGCAAAACTGGGCCGTGGAAATCGCTCCTGGTGCTCTGAGCTGTGGTTCTGTAGGGCTGGAGCAAAGTCCTTAGGGAGAAGGCAGCAGCAGGGGGGTGAGGCACCATCCCCTCACCTCCCACCTGTGTCCTGCAGGTCCAGTGCCTCAAAGTAGAACCAAGCAAGGGAAGGTGGGCACCTTCCTCCTTGCTCTCACCTGGGACATCTTCCTGCCTGTCCTTACACAGGCCATGCTGTGACCAGAGCTTCCTCTTGCGCAGACAGAGGATGTGCTGATCTCAGCCTTTCTCAGGGGGTTGGCAACACCGTAACCCATCTGGAGGTGGCTCTGCAGCTGCAGAGGTGCAGGGCTTTGCTCCATGGAGCACAGAGCAACCTTTGTGTCAGGCTCTCTGCCCCCCTGCAAGTGGCTCAAATCCCAAGGTTACCTCACCAGGGAGAAGGAACAGCCACCAGAACTGCAGCACACCCCACAAACACAGCAGCCCTGGCCCACAGGGTGGGACTTGGCAGTCCTCATGATGTCTTGTCTGGAGGCAGCACTGTGAAAATGGCTTGTACCAGCTCTGATTGGGCTTTTTATTCATAGCTGTCCCTTAAACTCACTTCTGAGTGTGCACTGAGTTGAGATGTATGTGTTCTGAAGGAAGCACTGGGATTCTCTACACTCTGAAGACAGGGGGTAGGAGATGTGGCAAGTGTGCAGCTATTTCTGCAGCAGCATCCCCATGCAAGCAGGGTGTGGGAGCGAAACACTCTTGTTCATGGAAAGCAACAAAACCTTCTTCAGAGCATTGGGCTTGCATCTCTGAAATACAGGAAATCCTTGATTTGGGTCTGAAAGAAAGTTACAGTGCAATGTATTTGTGTGGTATGGTGTCAGTGCACCAGCTTAGAGCCCTGGGGCTGCAGCTGTCCTGCAGAGCCCTTCCCAGC